ATAGCTCCATTTATGATTATAATCACCCTTTTTACATCCTCGCGGTAAATACAGCATCGCACTTAGTCGAGGGGAGAGGGGAGGAGGAGCAGATTTAGGAGAAGGGTGAGGCCTCGCCAACAAGATATGGCATGTTTGATAGGGAGAACAGACCGTGAGCTAGCGGAACGAGCAGGTATGTAGAAGGATGTGCTGCGAGGATCAACAACCGAGGCGAGCATTTCTAAAACTTTCTAGCTATCTAGAACATGAGGGTTTACTTTGGTCAAATGATTGATGGGGTGCGATTTCCATGGTAGATATTCATTAACTATGCAGTTCTTCACGAAAGGAGGCGAGAAAAGTACTTCCATGGTATCGCTCTATTGTTCGCCTCTTCCTCACTTCGCCTGTCCGTTAATGGTCTTAGTGCGTCGGTGAAGTCATTAGCTCGTAACAAGTAGGGGTATTCCCTGATACCTGTCTGTGGGCGTCCGTCATCTGGATATTACCTGGAGTATTGTCAGAGATTAGAAAGACATCTTTAGATAAATAAGACTTTAGAACAAACTGACTTTTTTGTTAAAGATGATAGCAATGCCATAACCTTTTAAGACCTATCATACATTTCCCAAGTCTGAAAAAAACTGTTCAGTTCATATACATATACTTTAATCACCCTTGTATTTGAAAATAAAGGGCATTTTGCTTTCTCTAAGTTATGAAAAAGAGGCTTTTCCCTCCCTTATTATGAAGTAATGCGAATATTTTTTTCTCCTAAACGAATGCTTTTTACTTGTCATTTAGAAAATATTGTTTCGGATACGGCTTTTTCCCCTTTAGGAGTGTGATTTTCAACCCTTTCTCTATAACTTACCTCCTCGATTGTATGTTGCTCGTCATATACCCCTTTACTACCATGTAAAACAAGAATATCTAATGTAGACACATAACAAGAAAGCACCTTTATTTCTTATATTTTGCAAAGAATGTTCTGATTAAGAAATATAATATATAGTTGTTGATAACTCGGTTTAAGAAAAGATTTTTAAAAATCGCATCAAACATTATCAGTTGGAAAAATCGCATGCTGTCTGCTAAGATCCATCACATCGAGGGTGTCACGTATATTCTTTTTTACTCACATGGGTAAACATACCCTTGGTCAAAAAATCCCAGCTTTAGGCGAATTTGACTTAGTCATTGTCCAATACATGTACAATTATAAAAGCTTTATAATATGGTAAGTTATATTATTTTACCTCTTTTTTCATGTCTTATAAAAGTTCTTGTTTTTGATAAAGACATAGATGCTAAAAGGGAAAAATAATCAAGTGAAAGCCTTCTTGTTATACAGGTGTTTTGATTTTTCAAGATAAAAATAGTTTATAGGGGTCTTAAATGTTTTTGCTACTATAACAACTAGGGAACATAGTGAAAAATCATAGGCAAAGGATGTTAAGATATATATATATATATTTTTTTTTTTATTTGGTAGGACTTTGTGTTAAGATATTCAGAAAATATTAAAGAGATCGAGTATCAAGTTTTATTCAGTGCCGACGTAAAAAATATTTCTCTCTTTGAATAGGGAGATTTGAGAAAATGTATGCATGTGTTACTTAAAAAGCTGTGTCTGAATGTAAATCACTATAGTCCGACGGTTGGGGTGATCATCTTTTAAAGATAACAACTTATCTAGTTCCATCTCTTGCTGCATATTTGTAGAAAGGCAATGACGGGGAAATCGAGAAGTAAAGTTTGGTTGAATTATACACGTTGGCAAAGTTATTTGTGTCCTTTTATGATATTTTTCCCGTTCTTGTGGGAGGCAAAAAAACATATTTGCTAGATAAATGAAACTACAATAACCAAAAATTGCCGTAGTCCGACTTAAAGATAGCAACTTATCTATCCCCGTCTCTTATAGCATGTTTGTACTGGTGAGAAAGATCATGACGGGGAAATCGAGAAGTAAAGTTTGGTTGGATTATTTCCCATCGGCTAGGCTAATTGTGTCTTTTTTACAATATTTTTCTCGTTCTCGTTGAAGACAAAACAGCATATTTGTTAGGTAAATGAAACTACAGTAACCAACATTAGTGGTTACCGTTGCATAGTTCCTTTTCTTTGTATATACTTGCAGGGAGGTACTATAGACAATTTTGTGGAGGAGGAGTAAATTACTGAAAAGCTAGTCCACCTTCTGTTCTGATTCATCTTTTTCTTATGTCATCATAAAACGGAGGATCTCTAATCGATGTTTACCCTGGTCTTTTTATATCAGAAGAGAATGCACTGTATTGACGTGCAAAGATACGGCTGTCTGCATAGAGTTATACATATGGGAAAGCTGAACATATTTCCTAGTTTGCAGATTGTACAAAAATTGAGAGCTGAGGCGGGAACACTTTTTGGGAAAAAACATTGCCTCTTGAGGTTAATTAGCAAATCATAGCTGGGTCGGCACATGGGGACAGGTGGTAGATAATTAGTTGTTCAGACGGAAATAGGAGGGGGAACCCCGTTTTTGGTCTCGTGCAGATGCGTTGAAAACCCTATTAATGCTCTCTAAATAGAATAAAACCTGTCGGCTTTTCAACCTGTTAGGTAATTAACCTGTTGTATAAGCCTGAAATTTTCAAACGTATGAGATAGTGGGTATCGCATTTACATTTATACAGAAAATTTAAACCTGTTATTTTTATTTTATTTGTATTATCACCTGTTAGGTGCGTTTTTGTGAAGGTCATAATAAAGGCATATTGAGTACAACAAGAGTTTCATGATCCTTTTGACTGAATTGTATTTTTATTAGAAAGATGCCTTTGGGATGTAAGATAGCTTATCAATCGTCTTGCGAAGTTAAGAAATTTCTGTTGTGTTATTCTTATTAGAGTTGCATCTTTGTTATATTATGCATTTGTAAACATTTGTAAAGATATTGATTATAGTCTTTGAAATGATTTTTTCATATATGCATATGGAGTGAGAAATGGATATTGTCATATACATATATATTTTGTCTTATATTTACATAATGAGAACATTGATAATCTTAGTAAGGATTAAGATGGGTTTCCTATTTTGATTGGTTACACCTCAAGACGGGACTGCACCACCGCTGTCGTTACCTCTGAGCAAGAAGAGATGGTCATATTATCACCCTCGTTATATGGAACTCGGGTGATATGATTTGTATTTGTGTCTGTTTGTTTGTACTAAAGGCATATTTGAAGACCTTAATAAAGACATTGAGTACAGCAACGAATTTTATAATCCTTTTGACTGCAATGAATTCTTAATATTGAGGTGTTTTGGCGATTTAATGTAGACAACGTGTCAAGACATTTATGGATTATGATGAATTAGGGAGGGGTGATCACTCGTCTGTAGCAGGATTAATTATCGGTTCAGTTACATGTTTAAACATGGTGAATATTGCCAAAGTGTTTATACAATTGAAAATGAAGGTATGTATTGTATGACGAATTTTTATAATCTATTACAGTTAATTGTATTCTTATCCCTGATATGGCGAGGGAGGAACAGTAATTATCTGTCATTAGCAGACCTGTGTGACCTATTTAATATTGATTTTGCCAGTTAAGTGTGTGTGAGCACCTTGTATAGTGTTTATACAATCGAAAATAAAAGCATATATTGTATAACGAGTTTTATAATCCTTTACACTTAATTGTATTCTTATCTCTGTCATAGTGAGGGAGGAGCAGTAATTATTGGTTGTTGGCAGGCCTGTGTAACCTAGTTATTATTGATTTTCAGTCATTAGGAGAGGTGGTTCCCTCGTCTGTAACAGAATCAATTACCGATCTCGGTACAAGTTCAAACATGGTGAATATTGTGGTATGAGTGGGAGGGGATAATGGGTGAGTCATCTATAGCATCTGCCTGTGTGTGAGACATCACTGACTATGGGTAATGATTTCGGTTGCGGTTATTGATTAGTTAATTGTTTTCAGTGGTTATCTTTCTGTTATGATGTGCTATTTTGAACTGTAAGGTGTGCGTGCTAGCCATCATTAGCTATGGTCTAGTGGTTACCTCATGATCATTAACCTGCTTGTGACGCCTCGTCTGTAACAGAATCAATTATCGATCTCGGTACAAGTTTAAACATGGTGAATATTGTGGTGTGGGTGGGAGGAGCAACGTGTGAGTCATCTATAGCATCTACCTGTGTGCTAGACACTGCTGGCTACGGGTAATGATTTCGGTTATGGTTATTGATTTGTTAATTGTTTTCAGTGGTTATGGTGTACTATTTTGGGATGCAGTGTGCGTGCTAACCATCATTAGCTGCGGTCTAGTGGTTTGATCATTAACCTGTGTCACCTGTCACATGCATTGGAGGGTTCCTTGTCTGTAACACGTCATTAGTTCCAGTTTCCTTTCACTATTTCTCTTAATGATGTATCATGTACGAACATAATACACACAAGTGAAAGTAGGTTAATGATTTCCGGGTCTTAATTATGTTGTTTTGGACATGTTGTGGTTTGCGGTTTGCGGTTTCGTCAAGGTCATTGGTTACGTCATTACATCATTACATCATTAGTTCCAGTTTCCTTTCACTATTTCTCTTAATGATGTATCATGTACGAACATAATACACACAAGTGAAAGTAGGTTATTGATTTCCGGGTCTTAATTATGTTGTTATGGACATGTTGTGGTTTGCGGTTTGCGGTTTCGTCAAGGTCATTGGTTACGTCACGCCCACTGGTAGGGGGAGGGGAGGGAATGGGGGTGAGTCGTTCTGTCCATATATACACTACTGTGCTCCAAGAGCGTAATATGCCTTGCAACAAAAATCCTTCATTTAATATCAACAAAGTACTAAAAAGAAATAAAAAAACTGTGACTTACAAAGTGAATCTTTATGAACCAAGATTACAACTAAAAGCAAACCTAGTTTTAAATCAACTCTTAGTACAAAAAAAAAAAAAAATTAATAAAAAAAAATATATATGTATATATATATATAAAGAATGTCCTACACAAGCTGTTTTAAAGTAAACTTCCTCGATGTGGTTTGTTCTAAGGGAGTTCTCTAGATCCGTTAAAACTTGTGTAGATGTAGACTCACCGACCATTTTGCGTTTCTGTATAAAGGGCAGTACATTAACATTGTATAACACTTACACTGCACATTCTTTTCATATCAAATGCTATTGTTTATAATACCATACAAATTCCATGAAGAAATTAACATTTAGCAAAGCATAAGGAGTCAACACAGTATATCAATTCAAATGAAAATGTATAGATTTTGTGACAATAAACCTTCATATACAAAAAATTGATTGATTGATTGATTGATAACGTTTATTTAGCCAATATACATAAAAACAGTTTGATATACACAAAATAACAATTGAATGGCTGAGCCTCCTGAGAACACAAGTTCTCTTAAGGAGGCACCTTATTATAAGGGAATTGATGTGTATTAAATTCTTAGATTCTGTCAATCCACTCGCAGGTGGATTGAAGAGGATAACAGTAAAAGGTGAAAATATACAATATGCTATATATAACAAAAGACAGACTAGTAGATCGGACTAAGTTGTAACAAAAGAATAATTCTATTCATAAAAAAACTAAATACTAAAATAATATATTGCACAAGATTATATCTAAATACACATATACACATAACACAGGACAGACTAGTAGACTAGTAGATCGGACTAAGTTGTAATAAAAAATGATTTAATTCATAAAAAACACTAAAATAATATATTGCACAAGATTATATCTATATATACACACATACACACCTATATACATACCTACATACATAAACATACATACATATACAGTTTATATATACACACACACACACACATAAACATATATACCTATACACAAACATATGTATATACACATACATATACATAAATACATACATCCATATACATATGAATATACTCATACACATATACATATATATACATGTACATACATACACACACACTCACACACACATATATATATACACACACAAATATGCTTATATTAACCTTACATGCATTTGCATGTATTACATAGATACATTGTACACTTATGTAAACATTCGTACAGATGCATGAATACCCGCTGTTATGTACCTGTATATATACTTATTCCTAAACATTAGCATTCACTCTGACATATGTAATAGGTGGGTCTTCAACGATTTTTTGAGTGACAACAGTGACGGAGCATTGTGGAGATGTGAGGGCAGATCATTCCATACACTTACCCCATGATATAAAATACATGTTTTGGATTGGTTTGAGCCTATAGTTGGGTGTTTTAATAGTGAGTTTGATCGGAGAGGATATCTTAAATCATTTCTGAACCGAAATAAGTTATTTTCGTATATATTGATACATTTAAAAATGAAGAGAGCACAGAAGTAGGTATTTATATCTCTCAGCTTCAATAGTTTCAGTGTAGAAAATGCCTCATTGGTATGGTCATATTTGCCTAATCCAGCAATGGTTCGGATTACTCGTTTTTGGGCAGTTATAACGGGTTTTAGCGTTGTATCATTGACAGCTCCCCAGACAGTATTGCAGTATGTTAGATGTGGATAGATTAACGAAAAATATATGCATTTACGGGCATTCATTGTGAGAAAATCACGAGTATGGTACAAGATACCACACTGTTTATTAATTTTTTGACGAATATTGTTCGTATGACTTTTCCACGATAATTTATCATCAATGATTACTCCGAGAAATTTAGTTTCGGTTTTCCTTGACAAGGGTTTATGTTCTAATATTAACGGCAGAAGTGTAGGGGGAAGTTTCTTATTGCGATTAAATATGACATAATGGGATTTAACAATGTTTAGCGTTAGTTTGTTTGAAGAAATCCAGTTACTGATAGTGCTGAGTTCTCTATTGATGTTACTAATGAGTTGATTAATATCTTTACCTGAAACATAGAGGTTACTATCATCAGCATATAAGATGAATTCCAGATACGAGGATGTTTTCACCAAATCATTGATGTAGATCAGGAAAAGAAGAGGCCCTAACAGTGACCCTTGTGGTACACCATGAGATAATGGAAGGCAATCTGAATCGGATCCATTATATGAAACAAATTGATTTCTGTTAGACAGATATGAACGAAACAAGCGGTTTGCAGAGCCCCTGATACCATAATGAGATAGTTTTGAGAGCAGAATTGGGTGGTTAACCGTATCAAAAGCCTTAGATAAATCTAGGCATACAGCAACAGTGAATTCATTATTATCAAAGGCCTTGTATATATGGTTTGTAAATGACATAACAGCCATTTCTGTTGATTTATTCCTCGTAAATCCAAATTGGCAATCTGACAGAATACTGTTGCGTATGAGATAATTTTCCAATCTGATATAGATTATTTTTTCCAGAATTTTACTTATTACGGGCAGAACTGATACTGGTCTGTAGTTATAAACATTGGTTTTGCAACCTGATTTGTGAACAGGAGTAACCTTTGCTGTCTTGAGTTTGTCTGGGTATATACCCGTAGTAAGTGAAGTGTTGCACAAGTGGAGCAGGGGACGGGAAATGACAGGCAAAGTGGATTTAATTATTGGCGCTGTGATGCCATCATAACCGGGGGCAGAGTTGTTCAGTTGATTTACTACTTCAGAGAGTTCGGATTCGGTTACGGGATTTAAAGATAGATTTGTGTTGTGCGAAGGCCCCATGAAATTCATGAAACTATAGAATGGATGGGGGACATTGTTAATTAAGTTATTTGCAACATTAACGAAATAATTATTGATATAGTGAGGAATTTGAGTAGAATCTCGAGACTGACCTTCCTCTACTTCTATCGTTTGATTCTGAGATTTATTATCTCTGTTCAGAATTGAATTGATGATCTTCCATGTGTTCCTGCAGTTATTTGAGTTAGCCTTTAATTTCTCTGTATAGTATTTGCTGCGGGCAGAGCGAATCACTTTGGTGAGATGATTACGTGCGCGTCTGAACTGATCTCCATATGTAATAGGCCGTTTTGCAAATAGGCGCTGGAGCCTGTTCTTCTCAGTTATAAGAGCCTTTATTGCTGGAGTTATGTAGGGTTTATCATGTGATTTTGGTTTGAGTAACTTAGATTTTACAGGAAAATACTTATCATACCCTGCTGAAAAAATGGTGATAAAGTTATCGTAAACTATATTAGGGTCATTTGAACACAAAACTAAATCCCAGCATACATTATTTAGGGAATCCCTAAATTGATCAATTCTGCCTTCGTTAAAATCCCTGTAGGTTATATTTATTCCCCTCCTTGTTTCCCGATTCAGGCGGGTTTTGAAAGTTGAAAAGATGGGGAAGTGGTCAGAGATGGTTGTGTGGATGACACCGCTTGTTACATGGTTGGATAGTTGGTTGGTCCAAATGTGATCTATCAGCGTGGCTGACGTGGGACTCACTCGTGTAGGTTTGGTGACAGATGTAAAAAACAATTTTGAATTGAATAGGGCTATGAAGTCTTGAACATTAGCATCTGATATATTCTTCAATAAATCTACATTAAAATCACCTGTAATAATACAATGTTTGTTTTCTTCGCTAATTACTTCTATTATTTCTTTCATTTTGTCAAGGAAGTGTTTAAAATCCGTGTGAGGTCGTCTGTAAACTACGCCGACCACCAGATTTACCTCCTGATTTTTAATTTCTATAAAAAGAGTTTCTAAGCAATGCTCCATAATGCTTAACTCTGGTCGTAGTTGCGAATCATGACGGTCCCTCACATACAAGGCCACACCCCCACTTTGGCGGGATAAATTGTTGGTATAGGCATTGTAATTAGGTACATTAAAGAGATGTTGTATATCTGTAGTTAATTTTGTTTCGCAGAAGGACAAGATATCAAAGTTGAAGTTCAGTGGATGTAAGCATTGGTCTATGAATATATCGAGATGGAGAGGGATGCTGTTAATGTTTAGACTCATAACAGATATCACATTTTTAGACAGCTGGAGGACATTGCTAAGCTGAGAATCAATGAAATAGTATTTGCAGTCTGGATTATCGAGGCCTAAATTAGACCTGAGAAATGTGTCTGGGTCAGTTTGATTTGTGACATCAGAGGTACTGGGTGGGAAATTATAGTAATTTACTTTTTCCAAGTTATCCAAGGATGTTGTATAATGGAGAGTATTACACAGTTCAAGATCACTAACATTGTTGAACGGGAATATGAAGGTATCCAT